CAGGTCTTGGCCTAGCCACAAATGGAAACAACCACACACACACACACACACACACACACACACACACACACACACACACATCAGCCTCTCCTCACCCAGGCTTATCAGGTTCTATTGTGGAATAGTGGCTGAAGACAAAGCCAGCCACATGGGCTGGACCTTCTCTCTGGACAACTGGCCATCTCCCACCTCCTGTGTGAGCCCAGTGGCTGCTCATCCCAGCTCCCAGTCGTCCTCACATCATGGAGGATGAAGGTAACCATGGAGATTGAGTTTTAGAGTAGACACTGACATCCAGGCCCAGCAGGGTTCTCACTCTACAGACCCTCCCTTGAGCTTGAGAGGCTGCCACAGGCCGCACACAGGCCAGGCAGAGGGCCAGGTAGGCTGACCCGTGGCCGCTGCTCCTGCCTGTGTGAGGAACTGTGAGGTCACCACCGGCAGGATTAGGATTAGGAATAGCAAAAGCGATTAGAGTTGCCCTTCCCCGGTACAGCAGGAAGAGGTTTCCAGGTCAAACTGTGTATCCCATGGACACCTGCTAAGAAGAAAGGGAAAGTCCCCAGCGGGTGGGCAAGGCCCAGACTTCTCATCCCAGAGCCAAGTGAGGCCAGGCCTATGTGGGAGACCTGCCTTTTGGGGGTTCTCACTCTGTGTTGTGGCAGCCCCATGCCTTCCCCACAGGGAGCCCGGAGCCCTGGCCTGCATCTCTGTCCCCGAGAGTACCCAGGTTCCCTGCCACCCTTTCACAGCTCTTGGAAATTGGAGGAAGGGGCAGTGCCTGGAATTGAAGCCTGAGGGGCAGTTGATCCAACAGAATCATGCCTGTGCAGGCATCCCGGGGTCAGGTCCTTCATCCCGCATGGAGGCTGAGTTCTCAGAGACAGAGGGACTAAACAGGGTGAGAAGCAAGGCGGTGCCCATGGGGGCCCAGACATTGGCTCTGGCTCCCAGATGACCTCCGTCCACCCTGCCTCCATGGATTCAGTATGTGAGCCCGTGGGTGTGAATGGGGAGACTTCGGGTCAGCCATCTCCAGCTGATGGGTATAAAGGAACTTTCTGGCCCTAGATAAAGTAGTGGTAGAACCACACAGGAAACGTGACTGTGTCCGGCCTTGGCCGGGTCAGCCAAGCTTTTCCTGCCCCTCCCCCACCTCCCCCTCCCTTGCTGGTCCCCAGGCTTAATCCAGCTTAGTGAACACATCCCTTAGGACACTGCCCAGCTCAGCATTCCAGAGCAGCAGGGCCAGGCTGTCTCTCTACGCTGTGGCCAGGATGAGGCCTGCAGAAGGCCGGCGGCAGCAGCAGAGGAGACCCTGGTTGTTGGGGGTGGATACCAGGTAGGTGTGTTGGGGCTGGGGGGCGGGGGAAGATGGACATCCGAAGTCCACAGCCAACCAGGGCAGCCCGGCTGTGGCCAGGATCCCTACCGGTGCAATAGCAACAGCCCTTGGTCCACCTTGGTCCATCTTAGCGCACCTTGGTCCAGAGCTCCTTGATTTGGTGTGGGACGGGATCAACTGTGACACTCTGGGATCTGCATGTTCTCATTCTAACCACATGTGGTTCAAATGAGGCCCAGCTGTCTGTGGGGTGTCCAACTTCCTGTCTCCCCATCCTTCTGCACCCATGGTCCCTGTGGTAACTTCAAGGAAGACGGAGGTCACACATAGCCAGGGTATGTCCAAGCAATCTGATGCCTCGTTGAGGCAGCCCCTCTCTCTGAGGTCAGGGCTGGGACCTGCCGCTTAAAGAAGGTTACTCCCAACATCCTTGTTAGTGAGCGTCTCCCACGGGCTCCATTCCACCCTTGGAAGAGCACGTGGTCTGTGCCATCAAGAGGCTTGGGGACAGCAGTAAAGATCCAGCTCCACAGCATAAGCTAGCAGCAGTCTCTGTACCCTGGAAACCACGTAGGTGACACACAAGGACTCAGACCCCAGCCCTGCACACACCTCCCTAGGGTTGCAGACAAGCCCGTGTTTTCCCCCCTGGCTTGGGCATGCTAGAAAGATGGCGACCTCAGTGCTTTGTGAGCATGCCCTGTCCATCTCTAAGCTGAGGAAGGTCTACCAAGTCAGGAACTCGTGGGAATAAACCGGTGGGAGTTGGTGGCGGGCAGAAAGGCTGTGTGGAGGGGCCCATGAGGACTGGAGAAAGTACAGCCCAGGAGATGGGTGGGGAGGATGCCAGCTTTTGTTTTCTAGGAAGCCCACACCACATGGCCTGTGATGTGAGCTTATGGGATTTATTGCCATGACCTTGAGCTACCATATGATGCTTGTCCTGTGCCTCCTTCCTGGGTCTGGTTTGAAATCTTGTGAGTTATGTGAAAGAGAACAAATGCTGCTCCGTGTTGATGCTCATTGATGTGACTCGGGAGCTCTAGAGGGTGGTGGAGAGTGGAGGAATGGGACATTGCGGAGCAAGGGCGGGCCAGAGGCCTTCTGCAGAGCTGCCAGGAGTCCCACACACTAGGAAGAGCCTGGAAAATGGTGTGTGTGTGTGTGTGTGTGTGTGTGTGTGTGTGTGTCTGTGTCTGTGTCTGTGTCTGTGTGTATCTGTGTGTATCTGTCTGTGTCTGTGTCTTGGGGGGGGGGGCTGGCATGTATTCTACAACATTCACCGCCATCTAGGAATCCCATGGGAAGAGTGTTAGTATAGACAGAAATAAACTCAGTACATGCGACTACACAGAAGCCAGCAGCTGGCCTTAGCAGGAGCTAGGTGGTTTTCTGGGCTGAGCTGGAGGGAAGGTTTGAGAAGCCCAGGGATTGAGGGCATGAGCACTAGGTGGTTGGGCAGATGCAGCTGGTGGCCTACAAGGTCATATCTAGAGAGTGCACCCTCAGTGTCCTTCCAGACAGACCTTTGAAATGGCACTGCACTGCTCCCATGTCCCATGGACGGTGTGCAACACGCATGACGCATGGGCTGGTGGCTTAGTGCATCGAGGGTGGGGAAGCAGCGCTTGGAAAGTGACAACTGAGAACACTCAGGCTTGTGGGGCCCAGGAGCCATGCCCTCTGCTGGGTTAAAGGTGCCAGGAAAGGGCAAGCCTGGTGGTCCCTACCTCAGGCCACCCTCTCCAGGGGTAGCTGAGAACAGAGCTGATGAGCCAACCCTTCTGCATAAGGATATAGTAGAACCACCCATGGATGTAAAAAGAATCTGGATAGCATAACAGGCCACAGACTTGACCAAACTTACAAGCAGTATGATGATAGATTGTTTGTCAACTTGACACAAGCTAGAATCAGCCGAGAAGAAAGTCTCAATGCCTGTGCTAGGTTGGCCTGTGGGCATGTCTGTGGGGGATTGTCTTGAGTTAGTTGATATGGGGAGATCCCAGCCCAGTGTGGGCAGCACCATTCTCTAGGCAAGGATCCTTGAACTGTAAGAACCAAGTAAGCAAGCAGCCGTACAGCCATTTTTTTTTTATTTTTTATTTATTTATTTTTTTTTTGGTGAGCCAGTGTATTTTATTGAGGTAGTTACAGGAATGTGGGTTAAACGGTTACTTACAGGAGCAGAAATGATTCCAAGATAGTACATCATCAAAAGTGCATACCAGCATGGGTGAGAGCTCACGAAAGCTCAACAGGTAGACCTGTCCTTTCCAGGCAGTTTGGCTGACCTCTGTCTCTTCCAGACATCTAGACTTATCTGAAGAGCATCTCTCGCAGTCCTCACTGCTTATTTATGCTTGGGAAGGAAGAGCCTAGTGAATCTGCTCAGTTTCAGGGACTTCCTGAATCCTTTGAGTTGTTTACTTCCTGAGCTTAAGGAGAGTCTCTCTAGGTTGGAATGTTTGTTCTACCCCCTTATGAACATCCTGTGTCTTAATGAGCTTCCTTCCAAGATGAAAGGTTTTTATCTCAGAGGAAACTGCCCTCTTCAGGTTGCAGTTGGTGTCACACTGTACTGCATGGGTGGGTTCGCAGTCACAACTCCATGTTAGCATCCACATTCCAGGAGGGAAGGAACTGCGTCCATGCACTTACTTCTTTCTGCTCTTACTGTGGATGTATGACCAGCTTCTTGAAGCCCCACCACTGTGACTTCTCTGCCAGGATAAATCGTAACCTGGAGTTGGAAGCCAAATAAAGCCCCCCCCTTTTTTTTGTGGGGCAGGGCATGGGGAGCATTTTGTCACAGCACCAGAAATGAAACCAGAACAAAAAGTGTTAATGGCGGAACATAGTGGCCCACACCTGTCATCCCAGTACACATAGGAAGCAGAGTCGAGATGATTGTGAGCTCTGGATCATCCTGGGCTATGTAGTAAGTTCCCGGCTAGTCTCAGCTACATAGTGAGACTGTCTCAAAACACACACCCCACCCAACCCCACCCCACCCCATCCCACCCCACCCCACCCCACCCCACCCCACCCCTGTGCTTAAAAAAAAAAGTAAAGAAAAAGCAGAATTATGTGATAGGGATGATAAAGTGACTTGGTGGAAAGTTCCAGTCTCAGCCACACCCCGTTTCTCCATGGGGTCTGTCACTGCAGAGTGAACCTAGGGCCTTCAGCACTAAGCTATAGTCCCAGCCCTATTTTCTACTTTTTATTTTGAGACAGAATCTCACTAAGTCACCCAGCTGGCCCTGAACTCACTCTATAGCTCAGGCTGGCCTTGAACTTAACCACCCTGCCTCCGCCTCCTGTGTGGATGGAGTTACAGGCCTGCGCCACCATGCCCAGCCAGTCTTGGTTCTTTTCAAACAAGGCTTGTTAGCCTCTGAGCCAGGAAGTTTGTGGCTTACTGTCCTTCTTGACCAAAGCCAGGGAATGCTGGCAAGATTAAGGCCGCCTTGGACCCCACCAGGGACCTGGCACCCAGTAAGGATGTTCCAGCAGACAGCTGAGGTCCTAGCTGCGATGAGCAATAGGGGAAGACAGTGACTGGAGGTTGGGCATGCTCCGGATGGAACCTGGCTGAGGTAAGCTGACCAGGCCACAGTCTGCGGCTTACATGGCGGTTGATCCTTCCCAGGCCTGCAAGGACTTTCTGGAACTAGCGGAGATTCACAGCCGGAGATGGCAGAAGGCTCTGAATTATGAGCAGGAGCAGCGCGCCCACCTGGAGGAGACCATTGAGCAGCTCGCCAAACAGCATAACAGCCTTGAGAGAGCCGTTTGCAACACCCCCGGCGGGCCGGTGGACCCCAGCAAGAGCCTCAGTGAGGGTGCGTGGGAGAGCGAGGCTGGTGGGTGGGCGGGCGGCCCTCTAAGGCCCATAGACCTGCCCCTTAAAGTGACCTCGTGTCATTTGAGCTTGTCCTGAAGAGTACAGACTGTGGGCTGTGGTGCTGTATGCCCCATACCTGCCACCAACTAGCAACGGCCCCCACCCACCATGTCCCAAATGTCCAGTGAGCCCAGCTGTTCTCTCTGGGACAGGGTTTGCCCGTGTGTCAGGTGGCTGCCTACCTAACATCAGGCTAGGGGACATCACAGCTGCCCTGGGCAGGAAAGCTGGGCTGCAGGCAGGCTAGGCAAGCACGGACAAACCAGGAAGCTTCTGGAAGGCAGTGTCTGAGCAGTGGTGAGTTGGGAGGAAAATGCCCTATCCCAGCAAAGCAAGTAGGGTGGACACAGTGCAGGGTGATCGGGGTCGGGGGTGTCTGAAGCCGGGCAGATAAAGCCAGTGGGGTAGAGGGGACGGCGTCAGGATGAGGCTGTAAACGGAGCGTCTCTGCGTGTCTAGGAAGCTTCCTGACCTCCAAAGGAGAGAACAGTGAAGAAGATGAAGATACTGAGTACTTCGATGCCATGGAGGACTCTGCATCTTTCATCACTGTAATCACCGAGTCCAAGGAAGACAGGTAGGATGCACCGTGAGCGGAGATGGCCGCTCTAGCCCAGGGGATCTCCCCCTCCCTGGGGCAGTGTCTCCGACTGGTTCTTGGGCTACACCTGCCTTTTGACCAACTGGACATTTGGGGTAGTCTTTCAATCTCAGGCAAGATATAGTATTGCTTATGTTCTATTCTTTGTTACATTAAAAAATTACCTGAATGGTTTGCACCTGGAGGTTAGCAGGGGTACTGGCTGGATCACTTCCAGCCTGGAGGGAGAAAAGTGGGGAAGGAAAGATCCAGCAAACCCCAGCTCTGAGAACAGCACAGGCGCCCATCACCCTCTCCAGCATCATCATTTGGGAACAGACAAGATGCCCAGTCTTGTTTTCTATTGACAAGCCTGTTTCATAAAAGGCTGCTCATTTGGGCTTTTTCTAGATTCACTGGTTAACATAGAGTAGTGACCAGTGAGGGAGTCATTTCTCGGGTGCATAGGGAAGGCCCACGGTGTGGCTAGCACAGACAAACAGCTGAGAAGGAAAATGGGAAGCAGATAGGCTAGACAGGAGCTGTGCTCAGGGGGTCAGGTTGGTGACAAGCCCCAGCCATTCTTTCTTGCTCTGTTGCTGAGGGCTCCGTGGACCAGCATGCTCCATCACTTCCTTGTCCCGATGTCTTCTGGGGAAAGGGCTGTCCAAGCACCAGTGTGCTTTCAGCTCAGAAACTCTATTTCCCAGGAACATTACATTTAGAGAGAGAAAAAAAAAAGTGAGATATGGTGGCATACCCCTTTAATCCCAGCAGGCAGATCTCTGTGAGTTCAAGGCCAGCCTGGTCTACATTGTGAGCTCCAGGCTAGCCAGGGCTACATAACAAGTTCCTACCTTAAAAAGGTAAAGACAGTACCTCAGTATCTCATTTTAACCCAAGGCTAGCATAGTTTGGCCATCTGAACTCCCATCCACCTACCACCAGCAGCATCGATTCTTATGGTTCTGCAACCAGGGTCATCCTGCTCTCATCACCCTGAGGGGTCTGGGCTCCCTACGATCCCCTGGTCTTCCTGCCTGTCTCCTGAGGCCCTAGGCCTAGCTCAGCCTGGCTGACCCACACTGCCCGCCAATAGGCTTCTAGAGCCTGGGCCCTCAGCCTTGGCATCCCTGCTGCTGTGGCAAATCTATCCCACAAGTGTCAGAGCAGGTGTGCATCAGACCCAGCACTTGAGGACCCCCAGTGTGGGAAGCAGATAAAGACACACTTGATATCTGTGGGACAAAGGGGCCCATGGGGCTTCTACCAGGCTCTTCCAGACACGGTACTTCCAGTTGCCCTCTTCTTGGTCCTGGGTACAAGGGGGCAGCGAGTACTAATGAATGGAACTTCAATGCTGTGAGCAACCATGGTGGGTAGAGCCTCTCCAGATGACTGCCTGGGTCCCTCAGCCAGACATAGTCTCTTGGGTAAAGATGCCTCTGGGCCACCCTCGTACCTCAGCGCTGTCTAGATAGAAGGTAGGCAGGGTTAGAGATGGATATCAGAATTTGTCCTTAACTTGCTTCCCCTTCCTTTCCTGCAGAAAAGCCGAGGGTGGAACTGGGTCAACCTCTGTGGACTGGACCCCAGCAGATAATGTACGTGAGATGGGAGCACACAAAAGCCAAGAGGTGGCCAGGCGCTTCAGTTCCGGGGTTGGGGAGGTGTCAGCACTACGAGCTTAGGACCACCTTTGGGTCCCAGACCTGCCTCCCATGTGGCAGGCAGAGGTGGCCTCTGCCCTTATCTCCAGGCAGTGTAGCAGTGTATGGCTTTTCCCTCGGTTCTTGGAGGGTCAGGAGCAAGTGCATGGACTTGGGGGTGGTCTGCTGACGGTATGCCTGGTTCTCCAGCAGGTGTTAGATGGTGCCTCCTTTGTGCCCAAGGATTCATGCAAAGTTAAACGGCGGGCCCGCATCCCTGATAAGCCCAACTACAGCCTTAACCTCTGGAGCATCATGAAGAACTGCATCGGCCGGGAGCTCTCCCGGATCCCCATGCCGGTAGGCACCTCTGGGCAGGAATCACGGGGGCTCCTGGGATGTGGCACATGAGACTCTGGGGTGTTGTTTTTTCCACAATACCTGAGGGGTTGATTCTTTGTGTTCCTTAGATGATCCCACAGAGAACAGGGACCTTCAGACTGCGAAGGAAGGAGCCAAGACAGAGAGCTCTGTGTGATTATAGCTGGGGGACCCCAGGAAGACCCATAGCATCCCCTCTGTCCTCACGTGGTAGATGGGGGTGGCAGAGATAAGTAGGCTTTGGGGGCGAAGAGGCCGTCCTTCCTGCCAGAGGCTGTCCCTGGTGCACTCTTGGCAAATGGAGACTCAGCAAGGTCATAGAGCCATCCAAGGGCATCTGGGGTCCCTGTGCACTAGGCTGTAGTGTCATCTCCACCACGGAAGGGCTTGGGGCTCCTGCCTAGCCAGTTTTACTGGGTAACACATGAGTCCTTTCATATCTCTGGTCTCTGTGTCAACACTGCCCAGCTGAACCACAGTACACATGTGCACACGCACACACACACACACACACACACACACACACACGCTATGAATCTGGAGGGTAGAGTAGGACAATGTTATCAGGAAAGGCTCCCCTTCTAGGGGAGCCTAACCCTGGCTTGTCTGAGGCTAATGGAGCCGATTCCCACTCATCCTGCACAGCACAGGAGTTCTTGACACAACACCTAGTCCGTGGTTCCAAACCAGGAGGATCTGCATCCCCCATCTGTGGAGCCCTGACCCACTGTTTCTGGCTTTGAGCCTGGTGGGCCAGCTCTGGTCACATGGTGGCCTGCTGCCACGGCTTCTGTGGAGTAGACATCCTCGTGAGAGAAGAGGGACAGTGCCCATCATCAATCAGGGTGGCACCAAGTGGCATTGTCAGCAAGTGACACGTGCTGAGGGGAAATCGAAGGCAGGACGTGCTGGACATGGAACCTCACTGTGAAGGTGCCACCAGAGCAGGGACGTCCCTCAGTGTTTGAGAAAAGCGGGGGGTGGGCTCTGACGGCCACCTCCCTGCCACACCCGCAGGTGAACTTCAATGAGCCCTTGTCCATGCTCCAGCGACTCACCGAGGACCTGGAGTACCACCACCTACTGGACAAGGCGGTGCACTGCACTAGCTCGGTGGAGCAGATGTGCCTGGTGGCCGCCTTCTCCGTCTCCTCCTACTCCACCACGGTGCACCGCATCGCCAAGCCCTTCAACCCGATGCTGGGGGAGACCTTTGAGTTGGACCGCCTGGAGGACATGGGCCTGCGCTCCCTCTGTGAGCAGGTAAGGCCTGGCCTGGGACCCGAAGACAGCCTGTAGTTCATGTCTACCTGGGCGGCCGGCCCCTCCCGACAAGGCCAGGTCCACAGTCTCCTAGATATAGGGAGGGGCGAGGGAGGAGAGCATGGTGTGACAGAGCCGGGTCCGGTGCTGGCAGGGAGCCAGGGAACGGGGCCAAAGTATTGGGTCCTCTAGAGGGGTCCCTGGGGAGTCCAGGCTAGAGCACACAGGTCAGCACGGCGCTGAAAAGTGACAGGCTGCAGCCTGGGACATGCACGCTGGGAGGGACGCTTCCCTGGTCAGTTGTCCCCGTACCACTTCTCTGTGAAGATAAGTCAGCTCTACACAGGATGCTGAGCCAGGGCGCCCTCGTGCGCAGGGCCAGTGCTGCCGCTCTGCTCTGGCTCCACGATTGGCCTGAGTGGCTGCCTGGTTAGAGACACCCCAGGGCCCTGCAAGGACCTGTGAGAGGCGACCTCAGTAACCAGTTTAGAGACACCCCGGGGCCCTATAAGGACCTGTAAGGTGACCTCAGTAACCAGCACAGGATTCAGTGGCTGAGTTTGAAACAGGAATCAGAAAATGTGCCAACCCTTGAGATGTGGGGTTTGGTGCTCTCAAAGTCCTTGGCGTGGACCCCACCTTTCTTCGTTCAGCCAGTGGTGAGTGCCCTGGAGGTGTCAGACGTGGTCAGACACCGAGGGCCCAGCCGGGACAGGACGACCCAGGGCTCTTGTCACAAGTGGTACTTTCTTGTGGCTGCTTCGGCAGGGCGGTCAGGAAAGCAGTCTAGAGAGGAGAAGGACTGATGGGAAAGAGAGAGGAGAGGATAGGGAGCAGCCGGGCAGGTATCTGTCCCACCCGTGCTGACCGGGGCTTGCTCTGCCCGGGATCTGGGAGAGTGTGAACGAGGCTGGGAAAGCCAAATGCTGGCTGCACTTTGAAAGGAAGAGACAGCATTTGCTGAGGCAGCCATGAAGAGCACGAGTGGGCAGCGGAGAGTCCATTGCCTGAGTGTGAGCGGTGGGGATGAAGAGGGGTCCTGAGACGGAAGTGGAAATGTCACAGGCACCAGGGCCTCCCCCTGGGCTCAGTCCCTACACTTGCTCACAAGGCTTGCTCTAGTTGAATGTGTAAACCCCCATCATGGGGAACAGCGGCGCTCACGGACAGCAGCACCTCCATCCTTGAGGGCAGCAGACAGGCTGTGTCTCTCTACTTCCAATCCACAGGAGGCATAAAGTACCATCAGTGGAATAACTGATAATAATAATAATAATCAGAAACAATAACCATGGCGGAGCACTGGACTCACTGAGTCCCTGAGTGGAATTTAGGGACAGAGACAGACCTGGAGACTGTGTGAGGCACCCTGAAGAGCAAGGAGGCTGGGCCAGACAGAGCCTGGCAGTTGTGGAATTGAGAGGGGGCACCATGAAGAGTCGATGGCACTGCCACTCTATGTAGGGACAGAGCCAGCAGACAGGTGCCCTGGGGGTGGGGTAGCAGTCAGGGGTGTTCTGTGGTACTGGGGGCCCTGGTGTAGGGGGCACACAAGGCCCATGGCAAGACACTAATGTGACTCCCACTCTGAAGTCGGACCCAATTCTTTCCCTCAGCTAATATGGTTCTGCCAGTCTGTCCCCAACCTGTATAGCTGTTTGGGGCCAGCCTGAACTATGTGCCCCTGCCAAATACATGGCATCTTAGTTACTCTTCCTTTGCTGTGATAAAACACCATGAAGAGAAAGTTTAATTTGGCATACAATTACAGATTAGAATTTATACAATAGAGGGCTAGAACTTATGGTGCTGGAGTAAGGGCAGGGAGGCAGGTGAGCAGAGCAGCAGCTGAGAGCTTACATCTTGATCCCCAGCATGGGTCAGAGAGAGAGCTAACCAGCAATGGCATGGGCTCTTTCAACCTCAAAGTCCACCCCCAGTGACACACCTCCTTGAATAAGGCCTCACTTCCTAATCCTTCCCAAACAGTTCCAAGCGTCCAAACACAGGAGCCTATGGGGGTCATTCTCCTTCAGATTGCCACACCTAGGAGGGTTAAATGAGGCGGGCACAGAAACCTCAGCAATGCAACACCTTCTACTTCCTGGACACAAACTCTGCTTCCCCTGCCCCACTGTTTCCCAAGAGCCAGGCAGGGCTTCTCACTCATGCCACACTCCATGGGCTGGGCAAGCCCAGGATGGACACTGCCAGGCTGCTCTTCTGCTAGGGATACTGTGCTCCCTGGGGACCTGCCTTGGATCAGGGTCACTAAGAGGAACAGTGGCCTGGGCCCACTCCTGGGATACACAGGATGGAGCCAAGCATCCTGAACATAGGGTAGGCTGTCCTTCCCTGGCTGAGTCTGTGTCTAGCTGTGCTCACATCCGCTGGTCTGGTCCCAGGTGAGCCACCACCCCCCATCTGCTGCCCACCACGTGTTCTCTAAGCATGGCTGGAGCCTCTGGCAGGAAATCACCATCGCCAGCAAGTTCCGGGGGAAATACATCTCCATCATGCCACTTGGTGAGCTCGGGCTCTGGGTTCCCAGGATGGGAAGACGGTCAGGTTCAGAGGGAGGGCTTTGCATATCTAAAGGCCAGGTGTGGCCCCCAGGGGAGGCTGCACTGCCCACATCCACTGCCCACCCATCTCCTAACCTATACCCCATCCCCTCCAAGCGTCACAGATATTCCTGTGTTCTTGACCCTGGGCCTGTGGGTGGTCTGGCCAGAGACCGATGAGGAACCCATGACCTCTGACCTATCTGGCCTCCAGGTGCCATCCACTTAGAATTCCAGGCCAGTGGCAATCACTACGTGTGGAGGAAGAGTACCTCGACTGTGCACAACATCATCGTGGGCAAGCTCTGGATTGACCAGGTCAGTGGGTGCTTGGGGAGGTGGGGTCTATGGCTTAGGGACTGGTCACTGACCATCACCTGCTCTCTCTAGTCAGGGGACATTGAGATTGTGAACCATAAGACCAAGGACCGGTGCCAGCTGAAGTTCGTGCCCTACAGCTACTTCTCCAAAGAAGCAGCCCGAAAGGTAACTAGGACCACAGCCTGGAACCCCAGTGGACCCAGAGCCGAGTGGGTGCTTATGTGTCCTGCCATGTTCGCAGGTGACTGGAGTGGTGAGTGATGGTAATGGCAAGGCCCACTACGTGCTGTCAGGCTCCTGGGACGAGCAGATGGAGTACTCTAAGATCGTGCACAGCAGCCCCAGCTCTGATGGGAAGCAAAAAACCGTCTACCAGACGCTGCCTGCCAAGCTGCTATGGAGGAAATACCCACTGCCGTGAGTCAAGCCAGAGTGCCAGCTCTGGGGGAATGGGGACCAAGAGAGGCAGAGAAGAGAGGGCAAGGAGAAGACAGGCATAGGGCCACCCCTGCCCCACCTGGCCAGGAGCACAGGGGTCTGGGGAATTGAGTCTAGCAGAGAGCAGGGCCAGGAGGCCAACATCCAGTGCAGAAGGGGCTGCCCGGCGGTCCGTGGCCTAAAGCTAACCAGTGGCAGCAAATGCTGTGTAGACACTGTGAACAAAGTGACAGGGTAGACTCCTTCCCTGCAATGCCACAGAAGTAAAAACAAGCTGGACAACATCTCACAGGAAACTGGGTGGGAAACGTACAGTGAAAACAAAAGAGAAATTCTGCAAAGGAAAAATAACTGAAACTGAGAATCCACAGCAAGGTTGGGTAGAGCAAATGTGGCCTTGGGATACAGGTCGGAAGAAACATGTTGTGGCATAAATGCAAAAGCTGGGAGCCAGGCACGGAGAAACACCTGCAACTCAGAAGGTGGAGACGGAAGGGATGCAAGTTTGGGCCAGCCTGAGCTGTGTCGTGAGACACCCTGGGCTGTGTCGTGAGACGGCCTGAACTGCACAGTGAGGACCTGTCTCAAGAAGCCAAAAGAGAGAGCTGAAGTGGGAAGGCCTACTCCTTGGTCACCCTGAGGGAGTTCCAGGGTACCTCATGAAAGCTTGTGCAGAATTCACCCCCAGACTCCCTGGACAGTCCTCAGCCTCATAAGGTCCACAGCAAGGTTGAGAGCCATATCTAGCGTGCTCCTAGCCCAGAGTCCCAGGAGACAGGTGCTGCTGGAGAGAGAACACCAGAGGACTTTCCCTGTCTATTAAAGTGGTAGTTTGGTTTTTTCCCTTCAGGTCACTCTTTAGCCCAGGTTGGCCTGGGACTTGCTATGTAGCTCAAGCCTCAAATTTGTAATCCTCCTGCCTCAACCTCCCAAGTGCTTGGATTTCAATTATGTACCACTATGCCTAGCTCCAAGCAGCCATATTCTTAGGAAGATATTACTTGTTGATATCCTGTACCCCAACAGCAATATTGTCTTCAGCAATAACAGGAGCCTAAAGACAGCCAGATGGCATCTTGCCGGTGCCGACAGATCACATTACCACTGACTGAAAGAGGAGGGGATACTGCCATCCCTCACTAACCACCACACTAACACCTTTGCCTGGACTCACAGGAATGAAGTAAGGAAGCAATAAAAATGGGAAGGCGGCAGAATAGGTAATTAACTTAAACCATTTTCCTGAAGATGCAGACACAGCTCAGTGGCAAAGCACCAGTGTGCCTAGCGTATACAAGCCCTCGTTCAGTCCCAGCACAGGGGACAAGTTCCCAAATTAGAAGTAAAGAGATGCAGACTTTGGGTCAAAAGAACCTATAGAGTGGTCAAGATAAGAGATAAAGAGCACGTCCATCTAAAATATGCTGCAGTCAAAATGGCCTAAAGCAGGAGGATCACCAGTTCAAGGCTAGCCTGGGCTACAAATCCTGCCTCAGGGAAAAAAAAGAAGTCAGTGTTTCAATTTATTTTAATTTTTTACTTTTATTTTATATATGGATGTATCCTGCATGCATAACTGTGCACCACCTGTATGCAATGCCCTAAAAGGCCAGAAGAGGGAATCATTTCACTTGGGACTGGGGAGTTATGGGTGGTTGTGAGCCGTCACGTGGGTGCTGAGTGCTCTTACCCATTGAACTACAGCGCCAGCCCCTCGATTTATTTTAAACAATAAGGACCCCAGGACATTTTGAAGGCCAGAGAAAAGGTGACCTGCCCTACTGAGTCTCGGGACTTTGAGGTTGTAGTGGAATGGAACAGCGTGCCTGGAAAGGCCCTCATCAGTTTATGTATCTCTGAAACATGACAGAGGCACAGCAAGCCCTGCGGAAGGATGAGAGTGCTCAGTGCAAGAGTCTGGGACAGACAGAATTCATCCCACACAGGAAAGGACCACCCCCCCACACACACACACACACACCGTGCACTGTAACAAAAATCAACTCCAGATAGCATTTCCCCGGGAGATCGAGTCTGCCTGACTGCTAAGCAGTAAGTAGCACTCTGAATGTAAAACTATAGGCAACTTGACCGTCTTTTAGCCCTTATGACAATGTATCTTAACACACACAGAGACGCAATGCTGATGCACTTAAGTCTACCAGAGTACTTTTGTTCATTAAGATGACCAAAAGGACCCTTTACACCAGGTGTGGTGGTGCACACCCGCATTTTCAGCACCTGGGGACAAGGTGATAGGAAGTCTATGGCAAACTTGCTACACAGTGAATTTGAGGCTACATAAGACCCTGCCTCAAAAAAAAAAAAAAAAAAAAAAGGAATACATCCACAGTACCTGTACTTGGCACAGGGTTACGGTCAAGCACAAAGACAGAGCTTTGTGGTGCAGCCTTTAATCCCAGCACTCAGGAAGCAGAGGAGCTCTGAGTTCAAGGCTAGCCTGGTCTACACAGTAAGTTCCTGGCCAGCTGAAGGTACATAGTAAGACTATGTTAGTTTCTGTTCTGTTGCTGTGAAGAGACACCATGACGCGTCTCTGAAGAGACAGTTTATAAAAGAAAGCATTTCCTTGGGGCTGGCTTACAGTTCAGAAGCTTAGTCTGTTATTGTCATGCTGGTGAGCATGGCCTCAGGCACGGGGCTGGAGTGGTATTTGAGAGTTTACATCCCAATCTGCAGGCAGCAGCAAGCAGAAAGAGAGAGGGGGAGAAAGAGGGAAAGAGAGAGGGAGAGGGAGCTAGAGAGAGTGGGCCTGGCCTAGGCTTTGAAAAGGTCAAAGCCCACCTCAGTATAGCATCTCAGAACCCAACCCCTCATGTGAATTCTCCAACCTGACACTGAGTGGGAAATTCCACAGCAGACTTCTCTTGAGGGGTCACAGTGCAAGTACACTGTGTTAACCCACCCTTAGGCTGTGCTTATGATATAGCTGAAACACACATGCATTGCCTGTTTAGACTAAGTCCTATTCCCCAAGATAGCTCATTATGCCTACACAATACTTCTAACTCGCCGACATTTCGAAAAAATGTGTAGTCTGAAATTTCATGAAGTGCTCCAGCCTAGGTATAAGATTGAAACAAGTTTTTAAAACTCCAGCTAATCTACAAAAGATATGCTTAAATAAGAAAATAAAGGGGAGCTAGGTTAAGAGCACCCGGTTCAATTCCCAGCCCTCACCTGGCAGCTCGTAACTGCCTATAACTCCAGTTTCAGGGGACTCATAGCACCAGGCATGCACATGGCAAAATTTTCACATACAAAATAAATCTTTTTTTTTATTTTGAAGAAAATAAAGATAGGAACAAAAGGGTGAAAAGATAAGTCCACACATTAACCAAGCAACCCCCCCAAACCCCCACCAGAGCCGGAGGGTGTCACAGCAAACTACAGCAAAAATCTAACAACAGAGATCACCAGGCGAGTGAGTTTTCAATTTGAACAGACCTTGCACCTAACAACACAGCCTCAAGATACAGATAGCACAGGGTGATCGAAATAGAAAAGGAAAGGGACCGAGTTACAACCAGCAAGGGAAATTTTGATTTGCTGCTCTGAGTTATGGGAAGTAAAACAATAGCAACAGCATGGAGTCTAAGTCCGAACAACAGAAATCACTAGCCAGCCATAGAGCACCGTGTCGCCCAGCTGCACAAACCCACGAGGGCCATCTGCAACCTGTCCAGAGGGTGGACCACAGGACACAGTTCAAAGTACTAAAAATGCACCAGGGCAGTCCAGAGTCATCTGCAACCTGTCCAGA